AAAATTTCATGATATTTCTTTATTGATGATATTTTTCATTTTTTTACTTGTCCACGTTTTTTTGAGCAATACTGTATAAAAATTTAATAAAAAAATTATACTTATTTATTCTTTCTTTTATATAATGAATTGTTTAACAATTTCATTCTTTTTCTATTTAAAATAGTTAAAATCATAATTATTGTTAAATGTAGAGATTTTATTTCATTAAATATTATAATTAGTTAGAATAAATTTATTGAGAGAAAGTATAAAACTTTAGTAATTTTGTCACATTAACACATGATACTCTCTTAAAGAGTCAAAATGAAAATTTTTTGTTAAAAAATTAAAGGAAAAAATCCAACCCTTAAAATGGGGAAAGATATTTATAATTTACAACAAATTCAAGAAGAAAAAGAAAAGGATGATGAAAAGAGTAAGAATGAAGCAGATGAGATAATTTTAGAAGAAGCAAGGGTAATAGAACAGAGAAATCAACAAAGGGCTAAAGCAGCTCGTCAAAAATTAGAAAAAGCCGGAGAGAAACAAAAAGATACAACTAAGACCATGGAGGCACAGGGTGAGAAAATAAAAACAGCAAAAGGAGCAGCTGTGAGAACATATAAGAAATCCAGGGAGGCTGAAGAGTTATCTAAACAACTTGAAGAGAATCAAGGAACTATGGGGTTTACATTTCCAGGTTGGAATAAAGTAAAAGGATGGGCAAGAACTAATACAGCTGAAGATAAAGAAATAGAACAATTATCCAATCAAAAAGCTGAACAAAACCAGCAAAGCGATCCTAGTGAGTCTAGTAATTTAGAAAGTAGTAAAACTGAAGATGAATATGTTGAAGGAGCAAAACAAACAGATAAAGAACTTAAAGGTATTTTAGGTAATTTAAAGTCAATTAATGAAGAAACAGAAAAGCAACGAAAGCTAGGAGAAGAACAAAGAACTGACTTGCAAGATATAAATCGTGTGAATGAGTATTCAAAGAAAACACAAGAAAAAACAGATGAAAAGTTAAAAAAAAATCTTTAATAAAATCTTTTTGATTTAAATTATCATGTTTTATTAGACATTAATTAGATTATTAAAGTTATTTATAACATCAAATTTAAGCTTATTTGTATAAAAAACAAATAAAAGAAACTGGTTTATTAATACTTCATACCAAGTATTGTGCCAACACTGTCGATTATTTTTATAGCATCATCAAGTTCTTCTTTTGTATGAGAAGATGATACACAAATACGCGCCCTTGAATACAAAATAGAAGTAGCAGGGAACCCAACTACAACTACTGCTAATCCTTTAGCTTTACAAAGTCTTGAAAATTCTGCTATTTTTCCAGGATTGATAATAAGAATAGGAATAACAGGACTCTGTTGGTTACCCAGTACAATAAACCTTGCTTTTTTTAACTTCCGTCTCATATATTTGACATTTTTTGATAAATTTCTAATTCTACTTTTATCTTCAATTATTTCTTTTAAACAAGATAATGAATGTTTAGCTACAACAGGTGACATCATTTCAGAATGTTTAGCAAAACATCCTTTAAATCTTATAAAATTAATCAATTCACTGCTTCCAGCTATATAACCACCATAGGCACCAAAACTTTTAGTAAAAGTACCCATCAAGATATCTATTTCTTTTGTATTAACATTAGTTATTTCACATATTCCCCTTCCATTGTTACCTAAAGCACCTATTGAATGGGCCTCATCAAGAAAAATATAAAACTTATACATTCTTTTAAGTTCTATTAGAAATTCAAGATCTGGAATTGTTCCTTCCATTGAATAAAGACCTTCTATCACTACAAATATTTTTGTATATGCTCTATGTGTGTGAGGATATCCTTATGATACATGATATCTCAATTTATGTTTAAGATCATTAAAATCATTATGTTTAAAGATTATTGTAGTACCATGTGCCATTGCGATACCATTTATTAACGATGTATGATTATTTTCATCACTAAAAATAAGTGCACCATTCATAATCTCTCCAATATTTAAAGCATTAGTTCCATATCCCATCTGAATAACCATACAATCCTCAGTTCCGAGAAAATTACATACTTCTTTTTCAAGTTCTTTCGTAATTGGATGATTTTTAACTAGATATTGTGGAATATTTAAAGTAAGTACTTCATCTTTAAGAACTTTTAAATCATTTTCTTTAACTTTAGAGAAATTTAAATAGTTATAAGAAGCAAAGTTTAAAAGTCTTGATTTCTTTCCAGTAAGTTTACATGATTCATTCATCGCTGTAAAACTTTTTTCAAACACAGTAATTTTTGTTTCTGGTATTCCTGTTATAGGTCTATTCCAACAATCAGAAATTCTTTGATATAACCTTCTTACATAAAAACTTTCAAGGGTTGTGAAGAAGGGTGGAATATTTTTCACGTGGTAGAATTTAGAATATTTACATGGCATAAAAATCTTTCCTATTTGATCTCTTATGTGTCCAATTACAATTCCAATTATGTAAGAGATGTAAGTTAAAATAATTCTTAAATATGAAATTTTCTTTGTGTAGCTCTTGTTCATTTTGGCGTAAACATTAATTTTATTTTTAATAAATTAAACATACTTGTATTTTACTTGAATTTCTAATAACCACGATGACCGAGTGGTCTAAGGTGTTGGACTTAAGATCCAATGTTCAATTGAACGCATGGGTTCGAATCCCATTCGTGGTATTTTTGTTAAAAGTATTTTAAGAATTTTATTCAATTATCATTTCAGGTTCTATAAATGGATTAATTTGAGCCAGATAAACTATTATCCAAGAAACATACATAAATGTTAGAGTTCCTAAACCAATAAGTTGTATCTCTTTTATGTTTTTCTTATATCTATGCATATGACTTAACCCAAATACACCTAAATTTAATAACACAAAATTAAGAGTCCCCATCAGGATAGTTAAAAGTACTTCATTCATTTGAAAAAGATAATTTAAACATTTATATTTTATAGAGAAGTTTCAAATTAATAATAAATATTTAACTATTTTATTTAATCATAACAGCGACCCTTATAAGAAGTAGGTAATTCATTTTCTTGGTTAATACAGGCACAAGGAATGTCTGAATAGTCGTCTCCATACACATTTTCTTTATTTTTACATTTCATTTCACATTCTTCTAAACATCTGTTCTTATTACAAGGAACTTGTTCAATTGGACCCTTACAATCTTTATCTTTATAACAAACATATCCATCAACACCACTGCCATGAATTTCATAATCTTTTTCTTCATCAGTCTTTTCCTTATCCTCATCTTTATTTTTATCATCTTTATCCTTTTCTTCTTTATTCTTTGCTTCCTTATCCTCCTTAGTAACAGCTGAATCGTCACTTGGATTTGCTTTAATTAGCAAAAGATTTAAAATACTTAAAATACTTATAATACTTACAAACATAATCTGATACCAAATTCAGCTTTTAAATTGATTTTGAAACATTGTCACAGAATCTGATACGTTTTATTAACAACCAATCATTTCAATTTTTATTATACTCTTTTTTTCTATAAAACAATTTTATATGTTATTTTAAGTGTATTTATTTAAAAAATAATTTTTTAAAATAATTATGATTTTAAAGTTAATAATGATTATGATACTAATTTTTATATTGAAAGATATAACTAGGTATTTAAATAAAGATATGCCTATTATTAATAAATGTTTACTAATAATAGCACATCCAGATGATGAATCTATGTTCTTTTCACCTTTAATAAAAATACACAAACCTCATCTGTTATTATTTTGTTATTGTAATGAAGAAAGAAAGAAAGAATTTAAGAGGTTTTGTAAGTACAAAAAACTGAAGTGTTTTATTGTGGAACAAAAAAGAAATTATCATGAAGTATTTAAAGATGGTATGAATTGGGATATTAATTTAATGAAAAATATAATTAAAGATCAGATTAATAAATATAAGTATAAGACTGTAATTACATTTGATGAAGGAGGTGTTTCTGGCCATTCAAATCATATTTCATGTTATAAAGCTGTAAGTGAACTTGAATATGAGTATAAAAGTATAAAATTTTTGTATCTTAAAACAGTTAATCTCTTTGAAAAATATTTAATATTTTTGAGACGACCCAATTTATCTATTAGAAATGTTTTATTTAAAAATATGCTTTTTTATCCTTCTCAGCTGAAATGGTATAGATATTTATGGTGTATATTTTCTAACTATCAATGGTTTAATGTATTTATTGATAAAAAAATTTTAACATAAATTTTAATGATTGATGATAGAACAGCTAATTCGCAATTTAAAGAGTATCTTTCAACTTATGAAATAATAGATAGTGGTAAGAGAGTAATATTAGATATAAACGACATTAGAAGACATAGTAGAGAGTTATGTGAATTCATTTTGTGTGATCCAGAGAGATTTATTCCCATGGCTGAGCATGAAGTTAAAAGACCATTGGGATTTAAAGGAGCTCTTGGTACACACTTTTGTACACCTAGAACTATCAAGTCATCTTATTTACAAAAAATGGTGTGTTGTGAGGGTATTGTTACTAGTGTATCACATGTTAGACCTAAGCTAAGAACAAGTGTTCACTATGATGAAATTAAAAATCAGTTTTTTGAAAAAGAATACAGAGATGGTACAATGATAGAAAGAATGCCTATAACTGATACAACTTATCCTACCAACTTTGAGGGTAGGACACTAATACCGGAATATGGACTTAGTATTTATAAAGATTTTCAAACAATTGTTTTACAGGAAATGCCGGAGAATGCTCCAGCAGGTCATTTGCCAAGAAGTTTAGA